TAAAACTCAAAACCTCATCAAGGTTCACTCTTGGCATGTAGGTAATGTCTATTTAGTATCTTTCGATCTAGGGCAGCACATCCCTATCTCTACATGGATAGTGACACTGGCATTGTTGGGCAGCACTAAGGATGCAGCACAGGACCTCTTACCCACTAAACAACTGAGCTCCTTTGCAGAATTTCACTTTCAGACAGGATCTCACCAGCTTACCTGGGCTGCCCTTGAGGGGCCTCCTGCTTAGCCTTAGAATAAGTTAGGATTATATAGGTATGCCACCATGACTAGTTTAATTATTTATTTATTTATTTTTGCTACCGGCAAACTTAGGACCTTGCACTTGGCAGGCAGGCGCTGTGCCATTGAGCTATATCCCCAGCCTCTAGCTCAATTTTTAGTAAAAATGATTTATAAGCCTGTAATTCCAGCACTCAGGAGGCTGAGGAAGGAGCATCTCCACAAGTTTGAGGCCAGCCTGGGCTACCTGTGAGTTCAAAACTAGCCTGAACCAGATAGTGAGACATCTCAAAACCAACCAACCAACCAAAAAAACCACAAACAAACAACAAAAACAGTGGTTTACAAGCTTTTAAGTATATTAACATTACTTTAAGATAGTGAAGGATATATATGGCTTAGTGGCACAGCACTTGCCTGGCAAGCACAAGGAGGTCCTGAGTTTGATTCCTGGTAACATAAATAAATAAATAACTTTGAGAACTGAGAATTTATTTTTTTCAAACTAGTATCATCAAAAATAATTAGGAAATACTAACCTAAGGACTATTTGATAAGGTAACCAATTATGCCATTTTTCTCAGGACTGAGGAGGTACAGAATGCAAGGGATTTGATGATACTATCAGGAAAGTCCCAGATAAAAAAAGAATGAGTTTGTCATGTCATTCTATTGGTTGGTCACTCTTTTATTTTTTTGAGACAGGGTCTCACTGTGTATTTTATGTTGGTCTTGAACTCATTATGTAGTGCAGGTTGACCTTGAACTCACATATAATCCTCCTGCCTCAGTGTCCCCAGTGCAAGATTATAGGCGTGCTTGTGCAGCTGTCGTTAGCCACTGTCGTTTTTTCTTTTTTGAAACAGGGTCTCATCATAAAGTTCAGGCTGGCCTTGAACTTGCGTATGTAGCCCAGGCTGGCCTCATAGTGAGTCTCTTGCCTCAGCTCTTAAATGCTGGGATTACAGGCGTGCACATGCCCAGCATTGGTTGGTCACTCTTAGGGGTACTTAATGATAAGAAAACAGTTATGCAAAAAAAAAAAAAAAAAAAAAGAAAGAAAACAGTTATGCAGTGATTAGTTAAAATCATCCTCCAGCAGCTGGGGATTTAGCTCAGCAGCATAAGCGCTTGCCTTGCAAGTGTGTGGTTGTGAGTTCAATCCCTGGTACCAATAAAAACGAAAAAGACAAAAAAAAAAAAAAATTAAAAAAAAAATCATCCTCTGATTCTAAACATTTTCATTATATCAAAAACTTAATCTCTAAGGGGCGGGGGAGGCAGGAGCTCCTTAATTTGGCTGAGGCTTTTCCTAGTTAAAGTGTCCGGTCTGGGCCAGCAACCCTTTCATAAACCTTTTTAACTAGAATTGATGCATCAATTATGCATATAGATATGGTACATGTATACTTGGTCAAATTTATAATGCTTTCATGTCTTCTCAAATTAAAAAAATACTAATCTAGCACCCTCTTACATTGGTCTTTATAATGTTACTTTACTGCATTTTTCTTTTTTGGTAGTGAGGATTACACCTAGGAACTTCACACTGAGCTACAACCTCAGCTTATTTTAATTTTTTTTATTGTGAGATACAGTCTTGCTAAATCACTAAATCGCTTAGACTGGGGTTGAATTTGTGATCTTCCTGTCTCAATCTCCTCAGGGCCCAGGATTATAGGGGTGTACCACCATACTCAGCACCATTACATCATTGTTGTTTTTTGTTTGTTTGTTTTTTGGTTCTGGGGATCGAACTCACAACCTCGTGCTTGCCAGTCCCATCATTGTTAAATCCCCAGTTCCATCATTGTTAATTTTGTACCCTAAGTCTGTATTTTACTCTAGATAATGTTATCTACTGTTCAGAATAGTTATTTCTCTAACACTTAATTTTAAGAAATAATTTATTTCACACGCAATTATTTAAGGCCTTGAGAGTTAAACTTCTATTTTCTTTTCATTTCATTTCTCCCCCCTCCCCACCTTGTTTTTTCTGGTTCTAGGGATCAAATCCAGGGCCTTGTGCATACTTTTGCAATAAGACAGCTCATTAGCTATTCTTTGACAGAAGCTAGAACTCTTCTGCAATTTGATGATGATAAAGTTTAGGTTTGTTGGGATTATTTTTCAGCAGCCAATCAGCTAACCAAATCTGTGAAAGAAGAAGAAAATCTTAATAAACATTTAAGAATAAAGTTGCATCCTTATCTCACACCATATACAAAATTCAAAATGAGCCATAACCTAAATATATGAGGTAAAACTATTTAAAACCATAAAACTAGGGCTAAATCTTAATAACCTTGGATTTGTAATAGAATCTTAGATTTGATATCAAAAGCACAAGACATAAAAGAAAAACTGGATTTTATCTAAATTTTAAAAACTTGGGCTGGGGATTTAGCTCAACAGCATAAGCGCCTGCTTTGCAAGCAGGCAGTCGTGAGTTTGATCCCTGGTACCGATAAAATGAAAAAGACAAAAAAAAAAAAAGCAAGTGAGAAGTTTCAGACACAGTGGCATATATGTGTAATTCCAGCATTCAGGAGCCTGAGGCAGGAGGATCACTACAAATGTGAGGTTAGCTTGGGCTACATAATGAGTTCAAGGCCAGCTTGAAATACATAGCAAGACATTCTCTTTGAAAGTAAAAAGAATGGGAGGAAATGTTTGCAAACCACATATCTGATAAGTGTTTAATATCTAAAATATAAAGAACTGTAACTTAACAAAAAGACAGTTGAAAAACACACAAAGGCCTTGAATGAACATTTCTTCAAAGAAGATAAACAAATGAATAATAGCTCATGAAAGATGCTCAACACCATTAGTCATTAGAGAAATACAAATCCAAATACACAAAACAGAAAAAAGACAAATATCACTGAGGATTTAGAGAAATTGGAACTGGCTAATGAGAGTGTAAAATCGTGCAGCTACAGTTTGGAAAAGAGTTTGATGGCTCTTCAAAACATACACAGAATTAGAATATGACCGAGCAATTATTTATATATTCTCCCCCACCTATCTGTCTCTCTGTGTCTCTCGGTCTCTGTCTGTCTCTGCCTCTTTGCTCCACCTCCACCTCCATCTCTATCTTTCCAGCACTAGGGAATGAACCCAAGGTCTTTCCACTGAACTCCATTCTCAGTGTCAGTCCCCTCTCTCATGCCAACCCTAAGACAGGGTTCTCACCAAGTAACTCAGTTGCACAATCTGGACTCCTACTTTGAATCTTCCCTTCCCAGCTTGGAAGAACCCTGGGGTTACAGGTGTGTGCCACCACACATGGCTAGCAACTGCACTCTTAGGTATATATTCAAAGGCATTGAAAACTGGAACTAGCCGAGCATGGTGGTACACACGTATAATTTTAGCACTTGGGAAGCTGAGGCAGGAGGATCAAGGCCAGTTTGGGCAACATAGTGAGTTCGAGGACAACCAGAACTATAACATTATGGACAATAATCAATAGAGAGAAATTTATTGAACACTTATTATGCAAGAGACACTATGAGAAGGAATCTTTTTTTTTCACAATAAGGAATTGTTGCTGTTAAAATGGGGTATTGCTTGCTAAGTCAATTAAGTCTTTTGTTTTGTTTTGTGTTGCTTTTTTGAGATAGTTCACAATGTAGTTCAGGCTGACCTTGAACTCACTATGAAGCCCAGGCTAGCCTCAAATTCTCAGTCCTCCTGCCCCAGGCTCCAGAATGCTGGAATTACACCACTCCGAGCCAAAGAGTTCTACCATTATTATTATTACCACTAGTACTACTACTACTGCCACCAACACTATTTTAGTACTGGAGACTGAACACTGAGCTATATCCCCAGCTCTCTTTCATTTTTTATTTTGAGCCAGGGTCTCACTGAGTCGCTAAGTTCCTCAGGCTGGGCTCAAACTTGTAGTCTTCCTCTTTCAGTCTCCCAGAATGCTAGAATTAAAAGTGTGTGTCATCATCTCCATCCAGCTGGGGTTTTTGTTGTTGTTTTTTGGTTTTTGTACTAGGAATCAAATTCACGACCTTGTACTTGCTAGGCAGGTGCTGTGCTATATCCCCAGCTCCTCATCTAGCTGATTTTTAGGATTTTTCTGAGACAGAATCTCACTATGTAACTCAGGCTGGCCTCGAACTCGCAGTGATTCTCCTGCTTCATTCTCCCCAGTGCTGCTGTGATTACAGATGTGCACAATCACACCTGGTTTGTTCTATTTTTAATGTCTCATTTTTTTTTTTTTTTTTTTTGGTTACCAGGGATTGAACTCATGACCACACACTTGCAAAGCAGGAGCTTATGCTGCTGAGCTAAATCCCCAACCCTATTTTTAAAAATTAGATGTCATGAGAAATAAAAATAAGAAAATAATAGTTTTTTTATAAGTATTGGAAATATGTTTTTCTAGAAATGCTTATTTTAAAAAGGTTCTCAATAGTATTGTTTCAAAAAACACAATTTTTTTTTTTTGGTACTGGGGATTGAACTTGCAACCTCACACTTGCCAGGCAAGTGCTTACACCACTGAGCTAAATCCCCAGGACAAAATACCATGTTTTAAACATGAAAACTACACACAATACTCTTTAGTAAGAAAAAAAATTATTTCTTACAAAAGGATCTGCTGGTTTTTGCTTACAAAGCTCCGTGAGTCCTTCAAGCAGAGTTGGTGTTACATATAAATTTAAATAGTCCTTAGCAGCTTGTCCAATTGGAATGGGCTCCACAATCACTGCAAATACAAACACATTCTCCTTAAAGGAAATGTAAGGAAGAAAATAAGTCATTTAAAAGGATGTCTTAGGGGATGGAGATTTAGCTCAGTGGCATAAGCACCTGCCTTGCAAGCAGGCAGTCATGAATTCGATCCCCATACCAATAAAAAGGAAAAAGACAACAAAACAAAACTAAAAACAAAAAAGGATGTCTTATTAAAAGAAGTTTGTAATACCATGGAAAGATACTTATTTTCTCTTTATTTATTCACAATAAAATTCACACATTTTAAGGTGGCTGGTGAATTCTGGTCATTATGTACAATCATGTAACCATCACTACAGCCCACATATAGAACAGCCACTCAGCAATCTCATTAATTGCAGCTAACCCTCAAGCCCTTACTCAACTATTGATTCTTTTTTTGAACTGGAAACTCTCCACTGTTGGCTTTTTTTTTTTTTAATCTTTGGCCTTTTAAAACAATTTTTATCTTTTTTTTTTTTTTTTTTTTTGGTACCAAGGATCCAATGCATGACCGTGCACTTGCAAGGCAGGCGCTTTTGCCACTGAGCTGAATCCCAGTCCAACAACTTTTATCTTGAGACAAGGTTTCACTATACAACTCAGGTGGGGCTCCACTTCTCAAAGTGTGGTGATCTAAAAAAAAATCATAGACATTTACCACCATACTCCACTTTATTTTTATTTATTGAGACAGAGTCTTACTATGTGGTACAGGCCAGTCTTGAACTCACTTATGTAGCCCAGGCTGACCTCAAACTCAAAACTCCCGGATGGTGGAATTATAGACATGCACCCCCATGCCCAGTTTACACTCGACTTTTTACTTTTATTTTTTATGTGCTTATTTATTTTATTTATTTTTGAGATAGGGTTTCACTATGTAGCTCAGGCTGGCTGGGCTTAAACTCACTTTGTAGCCCAGGCTGGCCTCAGACTTATAGTGATCCTCCTGCCTCAGCCTCCTGAGAGCTGGAATGACAGGCATACGTCACATTGCCTAGCTGTTTTCAACTTTTTAAATAAACAATAATCATTCACCAGGTGTGGTGAATGCACACCTGTTAACTCAGCACTCAGGAGGCTGAGGCAGAAGTATCACTGTGAGTTTAAGACCAACCTAAACTACATAATGGGACCTTGTTTCAAAAAACTAAACTGGAGCTGGGGATATAGCTCAATGGCAGAGTACCTGCCTGGAGAGTATGAGGTCCTGAGTTCAATTTTCTGACATACAAAAACAAAATCAACACCTCATTCATTAATTTTAAGGCAAGATCTCACCATGTTGCCCAGATTCCTGAGCCCAAGTGACTCTTTTTTTGTCTTTTTCGTTTTTATTGGTATCAGGGATTGAACTCATGACTGCACACTTGCAAGGCAGGTGCTTATGCCACTGAACTAAATCCCCAGCCCTGTGACTCTCTTTTCACAGCCTCCTAAGTTGCTGGAACCATAGATGTGTGTGACATAACAGTTTCCTGATTGGCCTTCTGCGGCGACATTTCACTAGACTTTTATATAAATGTTTTCTATATTATTTTTTGTTTTGTTGTTGTTGTTTTGTTTTGAAGACAGTTTCACTATGTAGTGCACACTGGTTTTGAAGTTGCGTATGTAGCCCAGGCTAGCCTTGAACTCACAGTGATCCTTTTGCCTCAGCCTCCAGTTGCTGGGATTACAGATGTGTGAAACCATAACCAGTATCTATATTGTTTTTCAGTTGAGACACACTATTTGTACAAATTTATGGGGTAGAGAACAATAATTTCATACTTATGTACAGTGTGAGCTGGGCATGGTGGCATAGGCCTATAATCCTAGCCTTCTAGGAGGCTGGAGCAGAAGGCTCACAAATTTGAGGTCAGCCTGGGGAACTCAATGGGACCCTTCCAAAAAAAGAAAAAAGAAAGAAAAAGAAAAAGACAGAGGATGTACCTAGAGTGAAGACCCTCAGATCAATTCCCAGTACTGCCCCCCAAAATGTATGCAGTGTAAAAGGATCAAATCAGATGTCTATCTCCTTAAAGATTTGTCATTTCTCTGTTTATTTGTTATGTTTTGGATTTTTTTGAGACAGGGTATTGTTATACAGTCCAGGCTGGTCTCAAACTCACTATATAGCCCAGCCTGGCCTTGAACTCACAGCAATCCTCCTGCCTCAGTCTCCTGAGTGCTGGCATTACAGGCATGTGCCACCACACTTGAAGCCAAGTATAGCAGTTTTTTTTTTTTTTTTTTAATCGGTACACGACCGCCTGCTTGCAAGGAAGGTGCTTATGCCACTGAGCTAAATCCCCAGCCCCCAGTATGGCTGTTTTAAGAAAAACACAATTGGGGTGGAGAGGAGTAGGGGGTGGTTCATGCCTGTAATCCAAAGTTTTCGGAGGCTGAGGCAGGAGGATCAGAGGTTCAAGGTCAGCCTGGGCAAAGTAAATAATAAATAAATAAATAAATAAACAAATAAAAAAGCTAAGTGTATAGTTTAGGGTCAGTCTGGGCTACATAGTTAGTTCAAAACCAATATGAACTACATTGCAAAACACTGTCTCAAAACAAACAGATTCCTTAAAGGGCACAATTTGGTTCTGAGGGAAATGCTGATTTTTCCATTTGTGGTTTCAAATTTTTTAGCAGGACAAAATACATTGGAGAAAAAACTTGTTATTTTCCTTCCCAGCCATATCTTAAAAAAAAAAAAAAAAGCAAACAAAGTAAAATGTTGTTGACAAATAAGTCATCTTTAACTCACCTTTAGGGAACATGAACCGAATTTCTCTCTCTGCTGCAGCACAGTCGTTACTCCCATGCAGTGCGTTCCTTAGGTCATCCGTGCCATAAATTGCCCTTAGACTAGAAGGGAATCAGAGGTGAGATCCCCACCCAACCTGACAATCTTTCCTTACTTTCTATGAATGCTTGGTAATTAGGAGTTTTGCAAAAGCATTGTCACTTCTCACATATGGAGGCTTCACTTTATTTTGAATTTAAACTGCCACTGAGAGATCTAGGTAAGAGTCAAATGCATTTTATCCTCTGCTGGAAGGATGACAGGAGTTCTTCAGGTGAAAAAGAGGAGGTGTTTTGTATGCAGGAGTGCAAAAGCAATTCATATTCAAAAGTATAAGAATTCCATGTCTTGTTTTCAGACATTAGTGATCACACCAAAAATGTGGATTTCTACTCCTGTATATCCAATATTCTTTTGAAGCACCATTCCAATTCTACCATTAAAAAAAAAAGTCTTTCCTTGGTTCTAGTTTAAGTCAAGGACAAGTAAATAATAAGGCTAATCAATCATGCATCAGACTTTCCCTGAAGCCTGGGATTTGATATTAAGGCAGACAATAAAATGGTTAAAATATAAAAGTAATTCCCTCCAACCCAAAGAAAAGTGGATTTAAGAAAACTTCCAAATGAAAGAAAACAATCATTATATCGAAATCAGATTTTTTTTTTCATTTTCACAAAAGGACTTAATTCCCCCAATCCAGGAGAGTTACCTGTCTGGGTGTGTCTCTTTAGCTACCAAACTATTACTTGGTCCCAACAGTTCTTTCCAGTAAGAGATGGCATTATGTCTAGCTAATATCATGGCAACTAGCGGTCCAGAACTCATGTAAGCTGTTAAATTTGGGAAAAATATTTTCCCATACTGTTCCACATAAAAGTTACTGCAGTGCTCAGGGCTGAGATGTAGCTTTCGTCTCTATAAGAAAAACAAAGTCAACCAAAGCATTTAAAATAATAGCTCAGTAATTCCACACTAAAATCATTTATAACTTGAAATTAGTACTAGTTTGATGACAAGGTTTATCTTTGTACTATAAAGGATACAATATGTGCTGAAATAACATAACAAAAAGACTTTTTTGTTTTTTAAGACAGGACCTCCCCGTGTAGTTTGCTTCTTTTTTTTTTTTTTGGTGGTGGGGGACTGAACTCTTTTTTTTTTTTTCTTTTGTGTTTTTCTTTTTTATTGGTACCAGAGATCAAACTCACAACCACACACTTGCAAGGCAGGCGTTTATGCCTTATGCCACTGAGCTCAATCCCCAGCCACGGGGACTGAACTCTTGACCTCACACTTTGTGGGCAGGCACTTCCACCACTGAACTAAATCCCCATTCCTGCCCAATGTTGTTTAGACTGGCCTTGAATTTACCTGCCTCAGTTTCCAGGGCTGGGATTACAGGTGTACACCATCACATCCAGCTCAAAAGGAATTATTTCACCTAAAAAGGATTCCAATTTATAGTCTTCCTCAACATATGATTTGCTAACAACAAATTCATCTTTTTTTTAAATAGTACTGGGGCTTAAACCCAGGGCCTTAGTGGTACATGTGCTAGGTAAGCACTGTACCACTAAGCTAAATGCCCAGTCCTTTTTTTTTTTTTTTTTTATTTATTTATTTTTATTTTTTATTTAAGAGGAAAAAGAGAAAAACACAAAACAAACCAAAGCGGTGTAAGGGTACACGTAATACAGAACTACAAAAAAAAAAAAAAAAAAAAAAAAGCAAAAAAAAACAACAGTAAGAAATCACCTGTTAGTAGATTACATATTATCATCTTGAAAATAGTTGCTCAAATCACAGTATCAAAGAATACAAGGTGGACATTCAAACAGGGAGACTGCAAACAGCTGTGTTCAATGATCCAAAAACATTGATATAGTCAGCTATTTAACACCCCTAAACACACTTGCTGTTATATCCGTTAGAGCTCTTTTTCTTTTTTTTTTTCCCTCTCTTTTTTACAACAAAATTTACACATTTTGGATTTTATTACTCCTTAGTGCTTATTACTTTTTTTTGGGGGGGAAAGAATACAGTCAAATATATGCCCAGTCCTTTTTTATTTTCATTTTGAGACAGTATCTTGACTTCAATCCTGCAATCCTCCTGCCTCAGCCTCTCAAGTAGCTGGAATTACAGGTGTGAGCTACAGTGCTCAGTTCATGATTTCTTTTTAAAGTAACACTCTTGATCATCAGGGCTTTGTGGAGTTTTTTGGGTACCAGGGATCAAACTCATGACTTCCTGCTTGCCTGACCTAGTGCTTGCCAGGCAAGCGCTTATGCCGTTGAACTAACTCCCTGGTCCCCATCAGAACTTTGTTAATTCATACACATTAAAGAAACAAGTTGAACCTTTGACCATTCTGAAGTTCTACCTTTTCCTGTGTTATTTTCCTATTGATGGTGAAATTTTCCTCCATTATTTTGGGAGCTAGCCTTATAGCTGGCACGTAGAAATAAATATTTTTCACTTGACTGTATTCTTTATTCTGGGTTTGCCTTAAATGTGCTGATTCACTGTAACCATGACAAAAAAACCCAGTAGATGCAATGGGCCATGCACACTGTCCTACTATTAGGAGGCTGAGCAAATTCACTTAACCGTGGGAGTTCAGGATCAGCCTGGGCAATAGAGCAAGATCTTCTCTCAGAAACAAAACAAAACTAGAACAAGGATGTCACTAGGCAATGAGTAATGATTTTCTAAAATTTAAACCGATGTATGTGAGTGTATTGTGGTGGGGATGGAACTCAGAGCCTTGCCCATGCTAGGCAAGCACTCTACTTTTGATGCTGGTCCTTTGCAATAAGCTACACCCCCAGACTCACTATGTCACTAAATTGCCCAAGCTTAAATTTGTAATCCTCCTACATCAGCTCCCAGAGTCCTATGGTTACAGGCACATATCACCACACTTGGCTCTAATTGTATTTTTTTTACTGACACACAGGCACATAAAATTTGTACATATTGATGGAGTACCATGTGAAATAGTTCAATACATGTATACACTGCCCAACTTTTTTTTTTTTTTTTTTTTACAGGATGGGGGATAATGGGGATGAACTCACAACCTCATGCTTACCAGGCAGGCACTTGAGCCACTGAGCTAACCTCCCCTTCACCCACTGTGCTCCCAACATTGCTCAATGTTTAAATCAGTTAAACACATCCACATTGAAAGGATTTTTTTTTTTTTTTTTGTACTGGGGATTGAAGTAAGATCACCCTTGCTAGACAGGTGCTTATACCACTGAGTTAAATCCCCAGCCCCTTAAATCAGTTAAATATATTTATCTCCTCAAATATTTACCATATCTTTATGATGAAAATATTCAGCTTCTTTCATCTAGCTTTTTAAAAACCCAGCAAGGCATGGTGGTGCACACCTGTAGTCCCAGCATTTGGGAAGTCGAAGCAGGATGGCAACGAGTTCAAGGCCAGCCTTGCCTACATAATGAGCTCAAAACCAGCATGGATTATCCAGCAAACTCCACCTCAAAAAACCAGACTAGGGCTGGGGATCTAGCTCAGGGGCATAAACACCTGCCTAGCAAGCGTGAGGTGGGGAGTCCGATTGCCAGTTCCAAAAAAAAAAAAAAAACCCAGACTAAACTAAAAGTCTATTGATAGTCTACTATCAATAATGTGTAATAGCACACCAGAATTTCTCACTTCTAGTGTTCACTGATCAACCTCTTCCCCACTACTTTTTATGGCTGAATAGTATCCCATGGTATACACATATACCACCAGTACCACAAAATTTTTTTTAAAAATGAAAGGACTGGGACCTCTACCTAGTATTGGGATTGCTACATCAAAATGGAAGTTTTATTTTTAATTTTTTGACGAACTTCTATGTTATTTGTATACCCCTGACAAGAGTGTGTAGGGGCTCTTTTGCTCCACATACTTGCCAGTTTGAGTTTTGATTTTTTTTTTTTTTTGGTAGTGGTGATATTGAATGTCAAACCCAGACTTCATGACTCAGCTATATCCCAGTCCATCTTTTGTCTTTTTGACCTAGCCATTCTTACTGGAGTGAGGTAGTAATCTTATTGTGGCTTTGATCTGCATGTCCCTTAGTGATGTTGGACATTTATTTTTAACATATGGCGGGCCACTTGCATGTTATCTTTTTTTTTTTTTTTTTTTTTTTTATTGGTACCGGGGATCAAACTCACGACTGCCTGCTTGCAAGGCAGGCGCTTATGCTGCTGAGCTAAATCCCCAGCCCCAGTACAGGCCAGTCTTAAAGTTGGTATTATCCCAGGCTGGCTCCAAATTTGCAATCTTTCTCAGCTTCTCAAGTGCTGAGATTATAAATATGTGCCACCATGTATGGTTTGTTGGTTCCAATTTTTAAAAATTGTAAGCCAGAAAAAAAGAAAAAAAAAAAAGATTGTAAGCCAGGGATGGTGGCACACTCCTGTAATCCTAGCACTCAAGAGGCTGAGGCAGGTGGATCGTTGCAAATTCAAAACCAGTCTGGGATACAAGGCGAACCCAAGATCAACCTGAACTGCATAGTGAGACCCTGTCTCAAAAAGAAAAAAAATTATAATTTTGGATGGATGTGGTATTAGGGATTAAACTCAGGGAATATGCACTGTGCTACATTCCCCTATATATTTTTTAAATTTATTTTTAAAAATTTCTTTATTTTTGAGATAGGGTCTTGCTATATAGTTCAGGCTGGACTTTATCTCATCACGTAGCCCAGGCTAATTGCCAAACTCATTGGTAATCCTTCTGCCTCAGCCTCCTGAGTGTTGAGATTATAGGAATATACTACCATACCTGGCTTTATTATACCACCACTCCTTTTTTTTTGTCTTTTTGGTTTCACTGTGCAGTTCTGACTGCCCTTGAACTCATAGTGATCCTCCCAGGTGCTAGGATTATGGGTGTTTGCCACCATGACTGGATATTACCTCTTTTAAAATGAAGTGTTTTTTTGGTTTTGTTTTTTGTTTCTATTGAGTTTTTGTGTCCCTTAAATAGTCTGGATATTCATCTCTTCTCAGATGTTTAGTTTGCAAATATTTTCTCCTATGCTGTAGGTAGTATCTTCACTTTTTATTTTCTTTGCTGAGCAAAAGTTTAGTTTGATGTCATCCCATTCATCCACTTTTGCTTTTGGGGTTTTGTCTAAAAGATTTGTGTCACAGCTATGGTTACAGTTCTGTGACAGAGTGCTTACCCTACCATGGACAAGGCCCCTGGTTTCAGACCCTAGCACAAAAATAACAACAACAAACAATATATCCCTACCCATTTGTGGTGGACAGACTAATTAATGGCCAATTTGTAACACTTAGCTAAACTGAGGCTGCTGGTGCTGAACTGAGTCAGCACGGTGCTGGGTGTGGAAGCTCCACCTGAGGATCATTGCCACCAGCATAAAAGAAGAACTGGTGGGAAAGATGGGGTACTGTTGATTCTCCTGGAAAAGCTTATCACACTGGCTCTCCTGATAGGAACTCTTCTGTTATCATCATCAGAGGACAGGTCCTTGCTGTTGTTGAGGATGGCTGTGGTTGTCTTTGTGGGAGCTCTGGTTCTTACCCTGTTGCTTCCTGGCTCCAGTGCAGATCCTCAGCCTGCTGGCACATATCCTTCATTCACCTGGCACAGGCTTTCTAGCTTTCACCACTGACCTTTGGGCTTTCCCAATGCAGATCCCTGATACAGACTTACATGAGACATTGTCATGGGCTCTAGGCCTCCAGGTGGACTTGTAGAGAACATTGCCATGGCTCTAGGTCTTCAGCTGGACCCATGCAGGACACTGCCATAGGATTCAGGCCCTCAGCTGGATTCTTTAGGTGTTTAGTGTGGGACAGATTTGAACACTTCTGCATTTGACTCTTTGAGTGAATATTAGAAAATAATCATATAAA